GACTGCACCACTCGCATGGCCTGCTTCGAGCCAACCGGTGCCAACGTTCTGTAATGAAGAGATCACCAACGCGAAAGTAGTTCGTGCTTAGAATTACCTTCCCGACGCCAATTCTTTGTTAACCCGCGTCTGATCCGCATTGGCAAAGGCAGATAGAGGGAACTTCTACATCTCTTCCCTTACGCGTTTCCCGAAACCAGTTGCCTCCTGCTACACTTCCTGTCTGCGACGTATGCTCTTTGTGGCCACAAAACGCGTGAACCGCCTCGATCGTAGCCCACATTCTCGAACAAATTTGGCAGTCCATGATTTGGATGCCCTGAAGTCCTCAATGAGCCTGTGCTCACGATTCAGAAGAGCAGCTATGTGTCGAACTATGGCGTACGACAACGGGAGCCCCAGATGGCCCATGTAACTTGGCGCACTTTGTCAACGTGCAAGTTACTTTTCAGCACGGACATTCGAAAACATAGATTGCCTGGCTGCTTCCATCATTCTTTCTCGAAGAAGAGCAGAGAGGCGTTTAAAATTAAGCACCCTCGGTATTCAGCTATTCCTAGATTGAAAAAATGGGAAGCCAATAGACCTCCGCTGATTCATCAATTTAATTTTTTAGCAACTGTCTTGGGGTACCTCTTTTTCCGATTTCACGTAGCAAGTTTAGATGCCAGTTCTGATCCACTTGAACGGATTCGCCATGGACGCTAAAGAACGGGTACCCTTGTTCGTATCACGGTAATGGGCAATGGCGCGGCGAATCTGTCGAGATGCAGCAATTCACGCTGAGCTTTTGTTAGACAGTGCTAAAACTAATGGTGTCTTCAGAAATGGGTCTGCCGTCAAAGAAAACGCTTCTCTGGGCTGAAATTTCAGTGCCGCTACGGTCATCGTCGTCATCCTCTGGAGTCCAGCTGACCTCTTCTTTCTCGTCCAAAGATGCCTATAAACTGAAACAATGCAGAACCTGCTTTGCTTCCAACTACCTGTGTAAAGTTCACCTAAAGCAACTCCTTTTCTTCCTCACATTCGACGTCGCCATTTTCTGCGCCTCGAAGAATTGCTCTGAACGCGTCGGCTATTGCGATCTCCTTTCTCGTTGGGGGAGAAAAATCAGGCGTGAAAGAAGATAGTAGTCGGCCAATAATTCTAGCTGGTGAAAAAGCCATGTCGAGATTGATAATGTCTACAGTGGTAGAGTGGTAATGGTTTGTAAGTTTGAAATTAGAAAGTAAGTAGGAAAGTAAAATATGTAGAGTTTTGCACATCAAAGAAATCTTGAGCAATTCCATATTCTGCTCTGCGAGGGTCGCCAAGTCCAGTGACCACAGGTGCGAATCATTCCTTCTTGATAACGGCGCCAGCACGTCCAGTAGAGTTTACTGCTAGTCCTGGTCACGACCATGTCAGGTCAGGTACTTGCTTTGGTGCAATATGGAGCCAATCTGGAGGTGGCAGCACAAAAAGCAAAAACGGCAAAGCCACGAGGATCCGAAACACCAACCCAGTCTAGCCGTCCCAGCTCGAAGTCCACATCGCTATCCACCACTCCACCCAACGCTGCTGGCAGCTAGGCCGTAGAGAGCATATATGAAACTTCCCCACACTTTTCAGCATGTTTCAACATGTGACCCTTTTGACTACCTTTCACGTTATTTTCAATGCGCAGTCAACTGTCGCCTTCTCCTGTACGGACAGCCGACGCCATGAATGAAACAAACGACGCTGAGTGGGTTAAAACGGCGATTTCTGACAAAATCATTTTCAGTGGTTTTCTGGCATTCAGAAGGCCATTTAGTGGGAATGGACCATAGTTTTATACTCAGTGCTCATGCCCCTATACCATGCAAAAAACCATTTTCGAAAAGCGTCCCACGCCCTGAAAGACCTTCTTTGTAACGTCTTGAGAGTTCAGTTTTCAATGAAGGAACACGCTCGGCAGAATTGGCTTGCTAACGGAAGGCGGCAGGACCTAAACCCGCTGAGGCGGGTGGGCGTGGGCGGAAATTGTTAATTTGGACCAGGGCCTTGAGATCCGCCCATAGGAGGCTGGACGTACGCAAAAACTGCTAAAGTAGGTAGCAGAAGATGACTGAACTGAATCCAGCCCGCGAAGGCGTAAGGAGGATGTAGAGGGCCGACCTCGCGTGAAATAAGCGTAATTTGAGTGATTGCTCATCTCATGCCCAGTCATTTTGGAAGAAGAGTGAATGAATCATGTTACTCGAACACTAAAGAGTTGATCAGAACCTTGCTCATGGCAGACAAAGGCGCACAAATGTGTTGGTGTGTGTGTGTTCCGCTGGAAATCAGTGGCTCCTGTTTTCTTGGACGAGCGCTTTTAAACATTGGAGGCTCGCGGCGGGTCAACTATAACACAAGAAGGCGGAAAGCTTGGTGTCCAAAAAATTCCTATAGCTGCTCGTCGGACTCGCACGGATGCTGCACTCGAGCTGCTCCCGCAACGCGATCACCGCTTCCGTTTATGTCACTCAGCTTTAGAAACTTGCGGAAGCTTTACGGCAAGCCGGCGGGACGAGCTTTTAAGGGTCCTCTTATGGAATTGCCCAACCCTATTTAAATATCAAATGATATCACCAATTGGAATGAAGACTCTGAACATGGGATCGCCTACTGGGAAGTCCCGAGAGGTCGCTGATCTGATGGAGCGCGGGAACATCCAAGTACTATGCTTTCAGGAGGCTCGCTATAAAGGATCAAAGGCCATAGAAATCGGGGAAGATGTCAAGCTCTTCTACAACGAAGAAGACACCAAACTGGCCATAGCGGTGGCGGACTCCCTTAAGGACTCTGTCTCCGCCGTCAACAGGGTCAGCAGTCGCATCATGGCTGTGAGGATAGACACGAAGGAGAACTACTGGACAATAATATCCGTGTATGCCCCACAGGTCGGCCGCTCCGTCGTAGAAAAGGATGTGTTCTATCTGAGCCTTGACGAGGCTTTCAAGTCACTTCCGGAGGGGACTACATCACAGTAGCGGGGATCTTAACGTCAGCGTTGGAAATGAGCAAAGGAGGTATGAGAGGATTCACGGAGGCAAGGGAATAGGTGTAAGGAAAGATGAAGGAGAAAGGATTCCCAATCTGGCCACAGCCCACGACTTAGCAGTATGCAGCACCTTTTTCGCGGAAAGTAAAGCACAAAAGATAACCTGCAGCAGTGCAGGGAAAGAAACAGAAATAGACCACGTACTCGTAAGAAGGTCATCCCTTAAAACTGTGGAGGACATGAAAGTACATACTGCCTGGCGAAGACGTTGCTCAACAACACAGACCTCTCCTAGCAGACATAGCCATCGATCTATCCAAGAAAACAAGGACAAGAACGGAACAGAGGATCCGGTGGTAGAAGCTGTACCGAGTCGAAAAAGAATCCCTCAAAGAGAAGATACTGGAAGCTAGACTTCCAGATCCCGATTTGCCGATCCAGCAGACCTGGAGCAACGCCGTGTAGGTCATTCTACGATGTGCCGGGAAACGCTGGGAGAAAGCTGGGTTGGATTCCGAGGGGACAAGGAAGCCTGGTTCTGAAACAATGAAATCCAGCGAGTTGTGAGGCAGAAGAAATTGGCCTACAAGCGCTGGTAGAAGACACGAGCTCCAGAAGACCCAGCTGCCTACAGAACTTTCAAAAGGGTCGCCAAGGCTGGTGTAGCGAAGGCAAAGAACACGGAAATGGACGACTTGTATGAGAGACTCGAGGGCGAGAAGGAGAGAAATTCAGCTTCCGGCTGGCGAAAGCGCGTTCCGGGCTTCTCAAGAAATCGGGGTAGTGAAGTCCGTTAGAGTGCCATCGTGAGAAAACCTGGTGAGGTCAGGCGTATGAGGAGGCAAACTTCGATGGGCTTCTAAGAGAGAATTCGCCCGTAAGAAGATCCATCAATTAGAGGCAAGACTGGCCCCATCGAACTCTGGACAGACGATGAGGTGCGTAGAGCTATGAGAAAGATGAAGGATGGAAAGGCAACTAGAAAGGATGGGATACCAATCGAGGCCAGGAAATCGCTCGGAAAGCATGGGATAAGTCACTCGATTTTTGAACACAGTGACCATCAAAGGACGAATCCCAGAGGCGTGGAGGAGCAATACTATTGTTCCCATCTACAAGCAGAAGGGGGACGCGATGGAGTGTTCCAACTACCGAGGGATCAGGTTGACCGTTCATACGATGAAACTGTACGAGCGGTTGGTCGTCCGTTAGAGTTGAGAGAATTTGTCCCAATCTCCCAGGAGCGGTCCCGCTTCATGCCTGGAAGGTCTACAACGGATGCTGTCTTCATAGCTAGGCAAGTTATGGAGAAGCATCGAGAAAAGCGTAGACCCTGCTACTTAGCCTTCCTCGATCTGGAGAAGGCAATCGACAGCATCCCGCGACAAGTCTTCTGGAGAGCGCTCCAAAAACGAAGCCGACAAGCCTTCTGGAGAGCGCTCCGAAAACGAAGCGGTCCAGAACACATGATCTCTCTCAAAGACATGTACTATAGTTCCACAACAACAATACGCACTGCAACGACCAAATCGGAGCAATAGATGTCACTTTTTGGATATACCAGGGATCGGCTCTGAGCCCGCTCCTCGTCCTGCTCACGATGGATGTCATCACAGAAGAACTCATGGATGGACCACTGAAGACCATCCTTTACGCTCTGATAGCGGAGAGCAAGGAAGAACTCCAGGGCAAGCTTCGGAAATGGCAAAAAGTGCTAGCGGAAAATGGACTCCGGCCGAACGTGAAGAAAACCAAGTTCCTCAGCTACGAGGAGGGCACGGAGTCAATCATCATCGGTCACGGGGAAGCCATCGAAAAGGTCCAGGACTTCCGATACTTGAGGACCGAACTGATGGTAGCGTGGACCAGGCCGTAAAAGCCCGAGTGAATGCGCCATGGTTGAAGTGGAGGGAGTCTCCGGTATCCTCTGCCACCGTCGGTATTCCAGGACCCTCAAAGGAAAGGTGTATCGGGCAGTGGTAAGGCCCACGATGCGATGGTTCGGGCATGTGCTGAGAAGACCACAGAATCATCCGCTAAGGGTGGCAATGGTGTTCGAAGCTCAGAGTGAGCGACCACGAGGAGCCCCAAGAAAGAGATGGCGAGACGTGATCAAAAAGGACCTCGCCGAAGCTAAAATAAAGGCAGAAGATGCTGTGGATCGATAGAAATGCAGAAGGTTGTCAAGAACAGCGGATCCAGCGACGTCGCGGTATTAACGCGAGGGGGAAGAAGAAGGTATCACCAACAAATTGAGAAGATTGGCTTGGAAACCGTAGCACATTCTCCGTATTATCCTGACATAATACCTTCTGAGTGTCATTTGTTTCACCCCCAAAGCCTCTCTTCCCTAAAAAAAACTTATGCAGGTTTGGAAATAAGTTGAGTGGTCGCCATTTTTTCGGTTAGCAACCTCCCCAGTTCTGTAAGAAAGGAGATCACTGACCTGCACAAAGGCGGAGCGCAAAGGTGAACTACACTGGCAGTCATATTGTTAATTGTACGCTTTGCATGCTGAACAGATAAATAAAGATATGAAGCGAAAACCATCAAAACTCTTCTACCATCCTTATACTTTCTTCATATTACGCGACTACTTGCACTTTCTCTGTGTCCCTGACGGCAAAATGTTAGAGCACAGAGAAAAAAGGTTGGATGGGGCCTACGGTGGGAGGGGGTGGGGTCTCAATAGTAAGACAAGCACAGCAGGTAAAATATCGTTTCGATGGGATGGCCACAGACGATAGCAGAAAAATGGGCGCAGCCGGCTTATTTTAAAGGACCGAGTTCGAATAATTTGTACAATTCTCTGCTTTCGATAAACATGCTCCATGCCACACATACAGTATCAGGTGGCGGCCCTTTAATAATGCGATGGAAGCGCTTCTGCGGATGTGCTCCCGATCGCATTCCTGATTTTACTTTATATTGCTGAATATTTATTAAGTAGTACTGTACATTCTTTGAGTTGAATTGTTTCTTATCAGTATGTCGTCCGAGGAGAGTGATGGTGACTATCAAGAGCAGCGAGAAGAGGAAGAAGAAGAGGTGTTCATTTTTGCTCTAACTTTTAGTCGCTCTATCGTAAAGCAAGCCTATATTTTTTAGGCAAACAGCGGATCTGGTTCCGAAAATGGTTCTGGAAGTGAGGATGAGGCGCCAAAAAAGAAGAATAGAAAGCGAAAGGTTTTTATACAGCTAAGGTGATTGCCTTGTTAAATCAGCATTTATAACTTCATCAATTCAGATAAACTCAGAAAGTGAAGATGAGGAGTCTGGCGATGATAGCGAAAATGAAGAGGACTCGGAAGGGTCTCCTAAGAGTTCGAAGAAGCGTTCAAAGAAAAAAAGGGTACCTTCCATATTCATCCGCTTTTACCTGCTTTTATTGCTGTTTAATTTATCGTTGTAAATCCGTTTTTGACATTCTTTTCCCTTTTTTTTCACAGGGCTGTAAAAATTTGGCTACAATCCAATCGCTGCATAATAGAGAGGTCAAAATTTTAATTTAAACTTGTTAATTAATTTAAGAACTCGATACATCACCTATCACATATTTATATCTGAGTGTTACATAGCTAAGATTCTCAAAGTATGACTCTGATCTTTTCTGAAGTATTGATGTTCGTCAATAATATCCTAGGCACCCTGATCTGTGTTAATTCAATTCATCCTTTCCAAAAGAAAGTGTTTTTAACCCTTTCAAGTTCAGGGTTTGATTGGAAGAAGAAGCATTTCCTGGTTTTTCCACCCCTCAGATACTTTTCAGGTTAACGGGTTGAGATTTTTGAACATCCTGACTCTTTGCGCGTCTACAGCTAAAAAATTCTGCTAATGTCAGTCATACTCCTTGTACCAAGCCTCCTGAAATCTATTATAAAAGACTACCAGTGGAGGAGTTGTTGACACTTTGGCCCTGTTGTTTACTATGACACTTTGCCAAAGCTTATACCTAATTCCAAAAATCGTAGTGTCTATATTGAAGTTCAGAAGGATCGTCGTCCTCGCGGATCGGACTTCATCTTACAAGATGTTGATGTTGACGATGAGGAACAAGACGAGGACGATTGGGATGATGAAGAAGACCGTGCTCTCGAACCAAACGAAAAGGAAGAGGTTGGTTGGTTCTAAACGGATAATTTTCTTGTGAGGAGTAAGCTTTCGGGCTTTAGGCTGAAAAGTACATGAAGCAGCTCGATGCAGAACGGAGGCGCAATGAAAGAAATAAATTCGCGTGAGTATATGTATCGTTGCCTCCTTTTGTCATGAGTACTTCTAATAAATTCAGGAATATGAATGAGGACGAGATTGGTCGATACTTCGAAAATAAATACAAAACACAGCCTATAAGAGATCTCGTTGAGGAAGATTCTGCCTTAGGTAAACAATTTTAGTGGTTCATTTTTTAAGCTTTGATCGTAAAATTTCAGATGACATTTCTCAACATGGTCTTCTACCATCAACGAAAGATCCAAACTTGTGGATTGTGAAATGCAGGATGGGCGAAGAAAAGCTGGTTGCTTTGCAGCTAATGCGGAAATATTTAGCTTTTGAAAATACAAATGAGGTATTTAATTGAAGCAATCATCATCTATGACTATGTGTCCTTTTATAAAATGTGCTGTTTCAGCCTTTGCAAATCAAATCCATCGTAGTAAAAGAAGGTCTAAAAGGCATAATTTATATCGAAGCCTTCAAGCAGTCGCACGTTGCTAGTGCTATTAATGGCGTTTCCGCGTTGAATCCATTCAATGTCACGGTATGAAAAAGAACGCCTTCCGACCAGTTAATCATTTATTTGCCTCGCATTATTTAGATGGTACCTATCAAAGAAATGGTTGATACTCTACGTGTGGTTAAAGATGTTCCGGCTTTAAAAGTCAACTCATATGTTCGGCTCAAACGTACAATGTATAAAGACGATCTTGCTCAGGTGTGAAATTTTTGCAATCCAATTGGGATTTGTTGTTTGCAGGAAGTTTTGTGTTACAGGTGGACTGGGTAGACGTGGCACAGAGTAAGGTCAACCTACGTATTGTTCCCAGGATCGATTACACAAGAATGAGAGGAGCTCTACGAACTGTATGTTTTGAATGTTTTGTGAATACTAGTCTCTTGACTTGTCACTGCAGTCATTTCTTTAGGACGCCGATCGCAATCATAAGGTTAAACGCCGTCCTATGCCTCGCCTTTTCGATCTGGATAGAATCAAGTAATTAGTTCAAATAGTTGCCTTTATAATTGTCAAACCTAAAAAAATGTTATCGTACACTGCGTTCAGAGAGATTGGAGGAGAAGTTACTAACGACGGCGATTTTGTCATTTTTGAGGGAAATAGCTACAGGCGCGGTTTCCTCTATAAATCATTCCCTATGAATGCTATAGTGAGTAGTAAAGTTTTTTTCTAACTATTTTTCATCAGTTAATCTTTGCTGTTTAGATTGCAGAAGGTGTGAAGCCCACCCTAGCTGAACTGGAGCGCTTCCAGGATACTAGCGAGGATCTCAAGAAAGAGTGTGGGTGTTGCATTTAAGTTTTTCATTCGCAAAAAAGCTCCCATTGGGCAGTTGCCTATACTGCACTCCTCAACAAAATTCTTCACTGCTTTCAGTTTGTTCCATAGAGTTTCTCTTTTGTGTTCGGGGGTTAGAAAGATTTTAACTACCAGTATTGGAACAAAGTTCGTAATCTTATTCTTTCCTTGAAAATGAATGCAAAAGCATAACAGGCTTTGGTCAGTCTAAGTGTTCGATGAACTATCACGTTTTTTTCAAATGTGAGAAAAAGAGGTTTCCCTTGTAGAATACGCCTGTTTGATGCTGAAAACGATATTCTATTTATTACTGCATGTCACTTTTGCAGCGGAATGAATAGGCACCGTAGACATTTGTACCCTATCGTTGTGATATAATACCCTTCGATGTCGAAAAATTTAGTCTTTGATCAAATGGTGCACTTTAGTGGAATCCACAACTGTCAAAGACAATACTCATTTCTTCGCTCCTGGTGATAATGTGGAAGTAACTGAAGGAGAGTTAGTGAACCTCCGCGGTAAAGTGGTTAGCGTCGATGGACCTAAGGTCGTTATGCTGCCCGATCATGAAGACTTGAAGGTGAGAAAACTGAGATCCTGTTACGCTGAGAATAAAGTATCATCAAAACGGACACAATAACATTGTTTTTAGGAGCCACTAACACTGAACATATCTGAATTGCGTAAATATTTCCGCCCCGGTGATCACGTCAAAATGATTTCTGGTCGCTATGAAGGAGATACTGGACTAATTGTTCGTGTAGAGCATAATCTTGTTGTCGTGCTCAGTGACCTCAGTATGGACGAGGTAGGTTTTGCTATTCTCCCGTTATCCCTCACAGTACTGGTTTGATTGTTCTAGATGAAAGCGCGACCCCGAGATGTACAACTTTGTGCCGATATAACCACTGGAGTCGATTCTCTGGGACAGTTCCAGTTCCATGATCTTGTCCAGCTCGACCAACAAAATGTTGGCGTCATTGTGCGCCTTGAAAAGGAAACGATGGAGGTTCTCAATCAACACGGGAAGGTGCGCTTAGTCTTCAACCTATTACAGAACCTTCTTGCGGTTTCCTAATTTCTAGAGAGTTTAAGTTCTCAACCAACTTTCATATTTTCATTAAAATGCAACCTAAGCTCTAGTAATTCCTATGCGCGAAATAATCGACTTGCTCAATCGAAGAAATGAAGGTGGTCCTTGTGACGGAATCGTTATAGATCTATCAAAATTTCCACTTTCCAGGTTCTCCGTGTGAAACCGCAATCAATCCAGGGCAAAAAAGACACACGCCATTCACAAGCTTTGGATAATCAACAAAATCCTATTCAGTGCAAGGACATGGTGAAAATCATCGATGGCCCTTTTGCGGTACGTCATTTCCGTTTCTTTCATTAATATACTACCTTACAATTGCTCTAGATCGAAAACAGCCACATGTCCCTTTTTCGGTTCTTTTAACGGAAGGGTGTAGAATTAAGGGTGGCCATGATCGTAAACTCCAATGAGATTCGATCCTGGATTTGACAGGGAAATAAGGGGTTTTGGCCGTTGATGAGTCAAGGTAATTGGGATCACATGAAGCTCCAGAAATTGGAACTTCCACATGAGCTTGTCGTTTTGAGGGCATTTGCTGGCACATTCATCTTTGCATTTTGAAAATTGTTTTTAGGTTTTCAAATGGTTTTGAATTGTTGCCTTTTTGTTTTCAGGCAAAGAAGAACGAAGAAGAAAAGCAGGGTGAGATCAAGCACGTTTATCGCTCATGGGTGTTCGTTTTCTCGAGGAAGCACACAGAAAATGGTGGCATGCTGGTGTGCAAAGCTCGGCATCTCTTGCTAATTGGTGCTCGTGCTAACAGTGGTCGGGGTCGGTATTAAACGGATGTTTCTTCATTGCATGTGCGTAGTCAGTCTCAGTCAGTGTGACTTTTTTTCAGGCGACATGCCATCAATGAACCGTCTTAGTATGACAAGCCCTAATCCCTTTGCGTCTCCCCGTCATAATGGCAGTGCCACCCCTGCTCATTCAAGTTCTCAGAGTGTGAGTGGGTACAGTGCTGGTGGAAAAACTCCGAGTCATGTGGGTAAGTATGTTTCGTACAGATCTGTTGCTTTGATAGGTCACGGTTTGAAATAAGGGTAACTATCAACGAACGGGCTCTTTCCTAGCGCCGATAACATCTTGATAATTTAGCCGGTTTTGGTGGACCTGGTATGGGGACTGGTGCAAACAAGGTAAGGAGAGACAATGCTATAATTGGAAAGAGTGTGCGGATCACGCAAGGACCCCTCAAGGTAATTTGGTTCCTTTCTGGTTTGACCCTCCATTGTATGGCATACGATGTTTAGGGGTATTTCGGGATCGTCAAGGATGCCACTGAGCAAACTGTCAGAGTCGAATTGCATACGCAATGCAAGGTTAGTCTGCCACATCACTTTGTGATCATTCCAACATTGGCGGATTAGTATTGGTTTGTTTTGAAACTACGCTTTCAGACTATTTCCGTAGATAGATCACGAATTGCGTGCGTAGGAGACGGCACACCTGGTGGATCCATAACGAATATGGCCCAGTTTGCGAAAACTCCATTCCCTGGCGACGATGGTCGAACACCCATGTATGCTGGAAGCAAAACTCCAATGTACGGATCTGGTGCCAAAACACCTATGTATGGTCTGGATGATGGTACGTAAACACTTTCCAGTTTTTGTGATATAGTTTTTCCTTCGATTCATTTTCATCAGCTAGGCTAGATTTGTAATTGCAGGAGGAAGAACACCATTTGGCTCACATACTCCCGCGTATGACAATTCGAGAACACCTGTCGGTGGTCGTACTCCTGCTTACGATGGTGGGCGAACTCCTGCTTACGAAGGTGGACGAACACCGGCTTACGATAGTGGACGTACACCAATGTATGATAGTGGTCGGACCCCAACTTATGATGCTAACAGAACGCCTGCTTACGACGGGGGAAGGACACCATCCTATGAAAGCGGCCGAACTCCTGCATATGATAGTGGGCGTACTCCTGCATACGAAGGAGGGAGGACGCCAGCTTACGATGAGCCGGCTGCTGCTTCGGCTTCTCGAAGAGGCGATAGCAGTGACGAAGAGGTGAGTCACCTTCTTTTCGTAGCGTTAATAAATAGATGTACAAAGGTCTGTGTATTCAGGATAATGAACCACAGTATGAAGCGCCAGCTTCTCCATCATATAGTGTGCCAACTCCTGGAACCAACTTGAATCCACAAACTCCTGGCTTCGCTCCAGAAACTCCAATGGGTAATAGTTCAAGATTTCCCTTCTTCAATGCTTTCATATTCGGAAGTCTTCAGGTAATTATAATCCAATGACACCAGGCGGAATGTACGATTATTCGGCTCCATCTCCATATGTACGTAATTCCTATGAGTCGTACGGAGGGCAGAAGATTCGTGAGTTCTTTTCGATTGTTCAAAAGTCTGTACTTCAATTTATTTGAGTCAATATTTTAGCTGCACACTTCCTGGAAGGAGGTGAGTGGGTTATGGAAGATCTCTTCGTCACAATCAAGAGCAATCACGATGAAGATCGATTCCAAGATCGCGAAGCAATTGTCACCAGTGTTCAGGTGCTGCTATCGAAATACTTACATAATTTCCTCTTATCTTGTCCTTTAATCACTTTCGCAACCAATACTATTGGATTTGTTACAGGACGGCAGGTGTCAAGTTTATATCCCAGACCTGAAGTGCTCAGCTACGGCTGATTTCGATCAAATTGAGCCGCTCAAACCTCAGGAGGGAGACTATGTGAGTCCTTTAGAGCGACTCAGTGATGCGGGATATGATAATAACAATATGACGAGTTACTTATCTAGCTATTGAGCTTTCATGAGTTTTTTTCAGACACGAGTCATCTATGGTGATGAACTTGGTGTAATGGGACAACTGATATCAGTGGATGAAGCCGACTGCGTGATCAAAGTCGGCGCGGACGATATGCGGTTAAGTCCGCTGGAGTTCTGTTGTAAATTCAGCAAGCGATAGATTGCAGATGTTCCATGTAAAAGCGGGCTTCCTCGGGTGTGGGTCTGGGATCTAACTGTACAGGATTATAGCAAGTTAAGAAAGCAGAAAAATAAGCATGTTGTTATAAAATTTTCATCTTTATGTTGTTTGTTTTCAGAAGTTCTGTAGTAATGGGTAGAAAAGTGTAAGAATATTTATGTTTGAATATGTTTTTCTTGGTGTTTTTTTCCTTTGCTCTATCGTTTTGCAATATATGAGGCTAAAATATAAATCTGTTGAAAAACAAGAGGATGTATCTAATGGAATCTGTCTGTCTGGCTAATCTTTAGGCAAAAATCCGAATCACTCTAAAGCCGTACAGCTGTCCTGACGTTGAAAATGTTTTATTTCATCACATAGAAGATGTAGCCATTCTTACTTTCGAACCACCAGGTGATTCCCTCTAGTAACTTGCTTAAAACCATCGCATTTGCGAGAAGGCTAATCTACCCGTTAGAAGGTGTCGTATCCATTTCGTGTCAACAAGAACAGTCGGACTCATGTTCAAATTAATCAAATATCTTTTCTGTTAACTGTGAACCAGAAGCAAGCTGAAACCTGTGAGCGTATGCTCAAAAGCATTAGATAAGTATTGGAATTGAGCATGAGAAAGAGTTGCTCGCCCTCGCAGAAGAGGGATGCGCCCACGCATTCATTTTCCATTCAGAATCGTAGTGGCGCATTGAATGCTTATGTAGCCAATGCAATGTCTTGCGTGAGTCAGTCGATGTGCTAGTCAGTTAACAATTAACCGACCTCGGAGGGATGGAAGGCTTGGTTGGCTTAGGCGAGCATTGATCCGGGATTCGAACCCGTGACTGTGCGTGTGAGGTGGTGCACCACTCGTCACTACACCACCTTCGCCCTTTGTAAATGAAGTCTGAGAAAGCACGTGGTACGATATCAAAATGACTAGCACTAAAGCGATTTTAAGCTCTCATAGGCGACGTTCGTTTCCAAGGGTTTCATTACGATTGTCCGGCATTCCTTTGAATGACGTCAATAGAGGAATAGATGATGATCTGGGTACTGCTGTGCTGGTTCAGTAGTACCATCGTGAAAGATTTAATATGAACATCTCTTTCCTTCTTGCTTATGCTCGAGTTCAATTGATCTCATTCCGCGCGTTCTCGAAGAACTTTTCTGATTGCTCTGCAACGTTGGATTGCTCACAGTCGCTTCTCCATCTGTCCTACATCGTCATACGAGCCAGGTATGTCTGTGTAGAATGTGGAAAAATCCTGTGTATTAGCAGCTAACCTTATTGAGATTATGGATTATGACAAAAGCCCAAAAGGAGGAAAACAAAATCTGCCTAGTTTCAGGTGGAGTACTCTTTGAGTAGAGGATAAAGAAATGGTGCAATTTTCGTGCTGATTTCCAACAATGTGCGGATATTTATGCGAATACCATTACAGAATTTTATTCTTCATCTTTGATGCAATTCTGGCGACGTTGGCAAATTGTTGGATTTCCATTTTCCATCCCGTAAAGTAGTCGTCGACCATGTACGGCAAATCGTTTTCTGCGCAGAACTGTTTCACCAAGGGCATCACCTGAAGCACTTCTGTATAGAATGTGGAAAACTACTGTCTACCATCAACTAACCTTGCTGAGATTATGCCGAGGCATCGTTGGGAAAAGATGATGTTCTATCTAAAGTATCATGTAATTTGGCAAATTGTTATAGCCACCAGTTACAACAGTCGCTGTAACTGGTTGAGAACCAATCATTAAACCCAACCCACTTGGTAGTTGAGTCCACCCCATAGCCAATCAATGAATATGCCAGGCCGCATGTTTCTTGTCGTATTCAGTTGAAGACATGCGTAGTTGGACATGATCTTTGAGGTATCTGAAATGGGGCACTGGTTTGAAAATTATCAAAATGGTAGTGACACGGTCCACATTTTGACAAGATGAGAACAAGCAGTTGCCCCATTGACAGATTGAAAAGCGGACTAAGTCTCCTCAAGTCTTACTAGACTCACATGGGAACTTGTTCACAGAGTAATGATTGTAAGTGACGACATGAGCAAGCAGAAATCCACCGGTTAGCTGGGAAACTGCGAAGAACATCAATCTGAAAAGGAAGTTTTTAGAAAAGAAGATGCTTAACTCGAGTTGGCACGTACCTGATCTGCATCGATGGAAGGAAATATAATTGTAACAGCACCAGTATCCAATGTAGGGTTAGAGATACCTGTAATGATTACATTACACACAGGAAATGTATGGATTTGTTGTGAGAGTGGGTGATGTAACTTCATAAAAAGAAAAATGACAGGACAAGGAAAGGAAATCGGGTAGGGTTTAGAGATGGTTACGTAAAGATCGTATAGGCAGAGATGAGGAGTATGGAAGCTGGCGATCGCTTCAGACCTGCTGTAGAGTCTAGTCTGATTTGAGACGATTGCCAGCTAAAAAAGAGGTTCACCGAAGAGCGATTGTTGGCTCTGGCCAAACGATCATCATAAAGTAAGCTAACTTGGAAGCATTGTTTCATATTTCAGAGAGGGAAGGTAGGGAAGCAGAGTTGAAAGGACACTAAGAAACAACATTTCTACTCATACTTTTGGGAAGTTTCACAGTAGAGGATAAGTTTGAAAAGATAAGGAGCAACCTGCTCTATATATGACCCTTAGAAAGCGTTGTTACCTGTTCATAAACAGCTCGGTCTCGATAGTACTTATAGTAGTGCTGTGGCATCCCGTTCACAAACACGATGGACTGTAGAAGCCAGCTTATTCGAAGCAACGGCAGCATCACGGACCAATAAATGTGCTGGTAGGGCAGAATCGTCAGCCACCAGTTGTCGGCCATCTGAAACTCATAGCTACCTCGGACTGGTACCGTTGTCATAATTCAGAGAGACTTCTGATAATATTGCGATAGTGTTCAAACGGTTTGGAAATCGCTGCTTTTAAGACTTACAAGACTCACCAGGGCTCTTGTCATTTAGTAGGGGACTCTGTCCCCTCTACAAAAAAAAGCGAATACTGACCAAGGTAAATGCTTGAAGATCAAATTTCGAAGCCTCCTGTGTAAGCCACAGTGGAAGCGATTCAGTGTAAAACATATCATCAGGTGGGAACAGAAGATCAGAGCAAGAACACCGTTGCTAGCACAGGCAAAAGGAGAGCATTTGCCTCCAATGATTTCATTTCAAGCCATCCACTTAATGGTCAATAGCAACGAGTTTTTCCAACAGCATCAGCAAAGTAATGACTGCTTTAAAGACAGCTTGATTCCTGTTTCTGATTTCTGCTGCAGAAAACTTGCTCTTTCCCTGAATCATAGATTCATTTGTTTCGTTTCTTCGAGGAACTCCCCTCGAAAAACTTCAAATTGCTTTAGATTTTTTCAGTCTTGCATATGTAGTTGATGGAAATATTGGCTAGACGTAGAGCGATCAAGAATTGGGACGAAACGACGACGCGAAGCGAGACTTTCATAATGAATGAAGATTGAATGCATACTTGACTTTTGCAATGACCTGTGATGGACCAGCCAACAGGCTTCAGGTGGCTTCATTCTATTGCTGCGGATTTCGATTTACACGACATCGATTTCTCTTATATGGATGCCATTTATAAACTTTCGCCTTTAGGACTTATCATTGTAGTGACCGCTGTTTTCTACTAGTGACGATACACTAACACTGCCACTACTTTCTTCACATGTAGTTTTTTCAAGGGCGGCTGCGGTGATGTAGCAGATGACGCACTATCACTCCATGATGCCACTACTGAATCTCGGATCGATCCTGATCCACGTAAGTTATGACTTCCATCTCTATCAATGGTAACCTGGTACCACACTTGCCTGCGAGGATAAAAACGCGATTGGCTGACCGCCGCAAGTCATTATACAAGACACATACGCAGTTAAAAACCACTACGATCATGTCCAGTCCTACAAACTATAGTCGGTGTTTCCATACTACTGCTTTTACTCCTACTGAACTTTAACGCTATAGGCCGAGTCTAGTCCTTCTACATGCCCTGAGTGTTCCCACCAGCTGCCTGTACTCCGACCAAGTTTGAACGCTCATATCCACAAGAAGAGGACTTACGAATGTCCGGTCAGATGTTTAACTCGCACACGCCCTGCCGCCTGTACGTGGAGTCCAGTCCTGCCACCCACCGTAAGTGTTATCACCCTGCTGCCTGTATTTTTACCAAATATGAACGTTCTAGGCCCACGAGAAGAGAACCTATGGATATTGGTCAGAGGATTACCTAGCGCGCGTCCCGTCCTCTATGGGGGTTCCCATCCTGATATCTGTCAGTAGAGTCTCATGCTACCGCCTGCAGTCCTAACAAATTTGAACGCTCTAGGTTCAGGGAATCAGGAGTTATGACTTAACGGTCGAAAATATGCTGCGCGCTCGACCAGCCTCCTGCGGGCGGGATCTAGTCCTACCGTCGTAAGTGTTCTCATCCTGCCACCTGTGCCCTTACGAAGTTTGAACCCTTTAGATACAGGGAAACAGGACTTCCCGTCAAACTTGCACACAAACACACACCACATAGACAAGCACAGACACACTTATGGTAAGCGCGCTATACATAGTAGGACAATTGAACATAATCAGAGGTCATGTGATGAATGCAACGAAGCTTTTACTGAACCAGGCATACAGTAAGATTTTATATACGAGTTTCAATTTTTTTCACCCCTCGCGGCTCGTAAGGTTTAGAAGACATAATGAAAAAAGAGCGAAATCTGTTTGGCCTTCGAGCACCTGTCATCAGACATTTGATCGTTTTGGCTCACACTGAAAAGGCGGTGGCCAGTAACGTTTAATTTTCCTTTTTATGTTCTTCTCCTATGGAAAACAGTGAATTTACCTTAAGATCTTGAACAACGGTAGCCCATAAAGGCATCAAATCAAGATCTCCGTCTCGTCCGACGACGTTGGTAGCAGCGTGATGAATATTATGCTGTTCCTTCCAGCCTCCCGAAGAGAATCCTTGCAGGAAGTTTCCCACAAAATAACTGTAAATTACTGCAATTAGCCGTACCATGTAATACTGTTATTTCAAAAACGAGTTTACCTGGCGAGATCATTGTGCCAGTGGTCCTTGAAAAGCTGGTTATGTGCGAACTCATGGATGAGCCATCCGAGCTGCTGCCATGCAAGGCCCATGAGCACTGCTGACAACAGATACCAACCGTTAAACTGCAGATACACGGCCATTGCAATGATCAGGAGCGACTCTACAACCTAAATGATTGGTTACAAATATTCACTATACGAAGAAATTGAGCTACTGCAGAGTCGTCAACGACAGAAAGTGTGGCTGGAACGAGTAAGCAGTTCTCCCAGTTCGAGCAATGTAAAGGTTTTACCCAACCTTTCTGGAATAGAAAAGCAAACTGCCGTCCATGAGACCCTCCTGACGAACTCGGAGTCGAAGCTGATCGAAACTCTTCGTGATCGATGCGCTCTTCTCTTCAGTTATATCAAAGTCACCCATATTCACGTCCTCATAGCCGGGTAGCATTTCTTCCTGAAAATTGAGGGCTTTATAAAATAAAACGCATGCTCAGTGAGGAGTATGAAGAAAAGAGGTCGACTAAGAAATGCTCAACACCGACTCATTCACTTTTGCTGTTGGAGGGTAATGTCGTCGGCCGGTACGACTTTATTATCTAATGTCAGAGGGCTGATACGACTTCACCATCTGAAGAATTCGTCAGAGAAGTTTTGCCTATATCCGATATGGCTATTCAATTCAAGACCTGCTTGGAATACAAAATGGTTTTTTTTAGAAGTACAGAGAGATTATGAGCTTTGGTAGGTTGCGACTGAGATCGTATTCGAGACAGAACGGTTTAGAGGTGCTCAGGAGTTTGTCTTACAATCTCAACTATCTCTGGTGAATTTGCTGTCGTTGTCGAGAAGTTGTTAGTTGGCTATGGTTTTCAAAGCACTGGAGCACCTATAACACAGTTACAAGGTTCAAGCAAAATTCATCGCCTCAAACAGAAACACAGAGTCACACATCGCAAACGCCTCTTTTCGCTTTTTGCCTCATAGGAATTTAGTAATTTCAAGAAGTCCAACGAAGAATAGATGATATCATGTAGTCTTGAAAAGCTTGGTGCGAACAAAGGCACTGTGTAGCTTTACAGGGTCTGTCATTCCAGAATCTAGGAAGAGTTGCAAACCTCTTCGCTCAGAAGTCCCTAGAGCCATTCACAACAGGCAACTGCCAGCGACTCGGGCGAATAAGTGCTGCAACTTTTCAGATTTTGGCATCCCTACACGAATACGATGCTTCACAACGTTATGGAAAAATGACCGGACATCAAATTAAAACGGAAGGTGCTGTTGCTCTCTTCACCCATGTCTGGGACACGGAATGAATCCCAGCTGAAATCTACAAGGTGGGCCAAAATTATGATTACAGCGCTGACGCTAATAGCGGATTTTTTCTGAGGGCATACCAATTCGTTCGCTTTCTTCTATTTCACAAGGTAGATTACATTATTACCCTCCTGATGATACTAAGCTTCTGATAGATTTTGAAAATAATGTAAGCGTAATTACCCCGTGAATAAATGGTCACTTTGCATTTGCAAGCACTTTTGGCACGGTGCACAGACGACTCAACGTAGCAAGGCAGGGGGTACATTCGATTATAAGATGCTTTCGAGAGTTGGGAACAACTGCAGATAGGAATGGTAAACATAAGAAGCCTGCGGTTATATTTAGTGGGAGTTTAAGAAAGCAGGGCGAAGGTCTGCGTAGCAACTCAGTTAATTCTGAGCCCAAAATGACTAAACGAAGTGATAGACACTTTTATGAAATTGGTTTGCTTCTTTAGCTCTCTATTCGTTTTCGGGGATGTGATGTCTGTGTAATCATAATTTTGGCCCACCCTGTAGAAGTTTAATGATGCGCTGTAGAGGCCTTGGCTAAACTTGCTTAAGGATGATGCAATTACCTTCTCATCGACAATCTGTGGATTTTGGGTAGGACATTGTTGCTTCAATTGTTGCAACCATCGATACGCTTGCTTCGATCCTGCATGGAATGTATGGAAGACTGTGGTCGCCTGAAATGCCTTTGAACTCATTGACACAATGGTATGTAGCTTGCTGTAATTTTACAAAACTGAAAATCTTTGAAGTTCCAGATGCTTGGACTTTGGTCGCGATTCAAAGTAAGCGGCTGAGATGGAATCCGATTACGCTTCATGTAGTATATATGATGCTACTCCTTCAGCCAAAATAGCCCTACCGCTCTTTTGTTTAGTTACCTACGACGAGATCCCCGAAGCCAAGTTATGGAATACTAGAACGTAGCACGATGGATATTCATGTGCCGACTTCTTCCAATCAAACCAAATCAACTTGTCGATTAAGCTAGTCATCCTGGAGACTATGCGTAAAACACTCGTTAATTTCACACTAGTGAACACAGCGTGAAGATCATGAATACAACTTGCTCTCGGGGAAAAGTAGCAAGTACCAGGTTCAGTCAGCTTAGAGGGCCTGGTGATCACGTGTACGTGTGCATATATACTGTGGAGTATTGCGCAATTTGCGACGGCTACTGCGTTGGCGTTAGCGAAAGCTTTTGGTGGGGTTTACTCTAGAGAAAAGACTCCCTGGAAAAGTTTTCTATCTTTATTGCAAGAACGCTCAAGATCAACAGATCATCCTCCACATCTTTGAATTTTTTCTCCCTAGCTCTTCCTATCGAAAACAAGAAGCTGATCATGAAANAAAGGTATGAGAATGGAAACCATGGTCATTGTGGAAATGATTGCTTAATAATTACAGTAACACTAGGTACGACTTTCTATGAACCTCGGCATAACTGCGAAGTTACTGATAGTTATAGTTACAGAGTTGTTTTCTTGAACTCTTCGAAGTTTGTAAATAAGTTTCATCGGCCTACCAGTGTTGCTGAGTGGTTTCGAAAAATCCACAGAGCTGCGGTCACTGGTTTTCCTAGTCAACTGCTTGCCCGGTGGTCTTGAACCTCTGTGGGATAGTGTAGGTGTTTGATCGGATAGTCATAAACTGATACGATACTTTCAGTCTCTGAAGAATACGACCCCGCTAAAACTCCATCCTAATAAAGTTTATGTCCAAAGTTTTAGAAGAATTCAAGAAAACGACTCAGTAACACATTCGTTCAGAGTCGATCGACCGAAATCCTCGTCAGACTCCTCAAAAACTTCTTTCTAATTCTACATATATATAATTCTCTACTTGGCCTACTATCAAAATGCGGAATGCTAAGCAGAAGAATCGGATCGAATATCTTGTTGACAGAAAAGGCTAGGAGTTTTTGGTGCGGCGATTAGGAAGGAGAGCCTTTGAAAGCTAGCTTGCTCACCTACTTCCGTGACTCAAGGAATAGAGATAACTCATTAGCGTGATTAGCTTTCTGACTGCTTAGGCTGACTTCTTTTAACGTGAGAACCTACATCTCAGATGCTCACTCCCATTTGCCCTAATGCCTTGAGATGTTGTAAATGGCAAATTTGATGGCAGGGACAGATACCGTAGTTATGTATGTACTTGTGCAGATTATGAGGAGTCATCTGAATTGAAGGTTTTTATTGGGCTGCCTCCTATTTCTAGTTCGCAAAAACTCATTATAAACGCAAAGCTGCAGTGTTCTGCTAGAAATTCAGCGAAGTTCCGTTATATTGCTCTATTGGGTGAACCTTATTCACAAGCCTTGAAATTTCGCATCAGTTTGCTTGTTAAGTAGACTGCTGCAGTAGTAACTCCTCCCGAAATTCACTTTTTCGAAAATGCAAAAACTCACAGATCATCGAGTGCTGGCTGTTACTTGTTATTCAGGTCGTTGAAGGCAACTACATATCACTTGGTACAAGCTTACTTTTAGATGTGGAGGCAAAAGTTCTATAAAAATCACAGTCGCATCCAAAAACTTCCCAAAAGTGAATAAGGACTAACCGTTACTCACAATGAAGCAGATGAACGCTTAATTTTTGGAGATCCATTGGCACAGTGACCGATGCTTCCCCTCCAATCATTCACCTATATATCTCCTTAGATGGTTAATCGTTAATCAATGCAGCGCAACAGCTGTGAAGATCGCTATCTATCGTCGCGATTGCCCAAAATTAAAAGACTGAAGGGATAAAAATACATGTTCGGCATGCTGATGCATGCAGAGGTTATTATCCTAGGCACATACTTATTTTCAGACTCTCAAGGTGAATGAAAACCGAGCAAAGAAATCACGAAATGATTTATTTGCACAGAGGGCTTAACTGTAAGTTGGATTAAAGACAAAGTTCGCAAGAATAGTGGATTATCTAATTTCATATGAGTAATGAAAGTGATAGTCTAGAATAGTACTAAAGTGGCGAAGAAATTGCGAAAATCAGCAAGTTTATAGAAATATGAGGCTTCAAAAAGGAAGGTGAAGGCACAGTCCACGATAATCCTGAATTACCCCCTTTCAGTCGAAAATCGGAAGTGTAGGGTAGGAGTGGTTGATCGGTAATGAAGAGAGCGAAATAATTCGCCGTTTGAGAAAAATATGGCCCCTCAAAGGTGTAGGGATAGTAAAGGTTGGAAGAGGTTACCATGACGAAAATACATGGAAGAGTTATTCGGACGAGATTGTTGCAATTGCTTAAACAGCTGGCTACCTCAAGCAAGAACAGTACATAACTGCCTTTCACTGTCGCTATTCGACATCAAGTTATTGATCCCTCTACATTGGCCTCTTTGCCTTGGTGTAGCCTCTACAATGCCGGGGGAACTCGTCCCGAAGGTTCACATAGTACAATCTTTGAGCTTTTATGATGCCCTATCTAGGCCGTTTTCAGGAATGACAGCGCCAAAGCTACGGCATACAGGGGATCCTACAAAATCATTCTAACGGGATATCTCAAAAGTCATTTTTATTGTTGCCCTTATTTCACCCTTTCCTGGCCGTTTCCCGATCCGGCAGCGCCTTTTACACTATCCTTGAGGGTCACCAGTTCGTTCATAAGAGAGATTTCAAAATCCATTTTTAACGTGAACTGTGCCTTTAAGGTCGTGTGCCGGAGTCAGAGGCAAAGAAGGTCATGCTTGCTCACTTGTGAAGGGGAGTGGAAGGTTGGAAGTATATAGGGTCGTGATGGGGTATAACTAAAAGTTATTCTTTGTAATGGAAACCTGCAAACTACTAAATAAGCTACAAGACCTTCGTTTAACTTCTTTCCTCGACTTCTTTCGTAAGTTTACGAAGCATTTGGTATGCACCTCCAGGTTTTTAACGTTCACGGGCGATCATTCTTCGAAATCAGAGCCAATGCATCAAGTTGAGGTAGTGAGTTGCAGAGAAGTTTTGAAGGACGAGCGCACCTATTTCCGAATCTACATGCCTAACTATAATTGCACCGGTCGCGGTTAGCGATTGCAGATAGTCACANAGTCACAACTTTCTTCAGAAATTCTCGAAAGCATAGATGCCTCAGACCTCAATAAACATATTTGAGGTCCGTTCCGCACACCTGCCAATTACGACAACAGGAGTCGCATGACTCAAAGGGTCGAGGGGTTCTAGTTCTATTGGGTCCGACAATGTCAGGTAGAGAGTTTTGAAGAGCACATGCTATGCACCGTAGCCTAAGTGGTAACTTAGTTCGGTACTCTGTCTTCAATTTAAAGGTATCGCATAGACCTCAAATAGTAAATTTGGGAGGTAAAAGTTGTCAAACGTAATGGTACGGATTAAGTTTTCTGCTACTGATTAATCCATTTTCTGGGATGCGCCCCGTATTCTTGTTTCACTAGAATCGTATTGGCCGTTTGAATGCTTATTACGAGCCTAAGGGCCTACAAACTCAAGGACATGCGGTTGCCAGCCGCTGTACAATGCCATGCTTTTGTCCTCGACGACCCATCTGTTACCAATAACCGACCGTTGAGCCATGGAAGGCTTGATTGACCTGATCGAATATCGATCCGGAGCTCAGGTCAATCAAGCCCGAATATCGGGACTGAGACCATGCAGGTGAGATAGCTCGCAATTCGTAACAACATCACCTCCGCCTTTTTTATCAATCATAAGGAAAAAAGAGGAAAACTCTAAAAGATGCCGAAGGATCAAAGAGCTCTATGTGACAGGCAGGGAAATTAATTGGGATGAGAAGTACGACGTTTTTTTCTTGTGAACCACGAGAAATTTCATAAATCTTGTAAAAATTTGAAAAATAACAGTAACCGCTGGCCCGCTTGAATTGCCAAGGAAAACTTACCTTCTCTCGATCCGGTTTGCTCGCTGGAGCTGTCGATGACTAAGAGTAAGTCATGCTCCTGGACACGTCTGGCGACAATCACCCACACCTCACTTTAAGTGACAATAGAGACCCGAGGTATAATTCCCATTCTATAACGGCCAGGTAAATTGGAGCAAGATGAGGTGCGCCAAATGAACTACTTCACAACTACCCTTGAATCTATGATCGATTTACTGTGACTTGTTAACCTCTAGCTTCTAGAAGAATGAATATCATAAAATAGTTGGGTCATAGGTGATGAGGTCCCAATAATCTCTGACTTTGAAGAGAAAATAATTTTGGCAAATGCTACTGCGAACAGGAAAATCAAAGCTAGATGCGAATAAGAAACTTTTCTCTACTAAAGTGTTACCATCAAGAAACTTCAGGCTGTCCTGATGGCATTCACGAGCGATTTCATATCATAAGCTGAGGATAAGATTGAACATGAACAAAGAGTAGGAAAGTGGGCTTTGACTGAAAGAGGCTCCCAGGAGAGCTTTTCTTTTCCGGCAAGAAATGCAGCAATTCCTAGACAGCTCTAACAATGAGCTAACTACTCTGACTAGCAAACACACTCATCACATACTCATGAAGCCAATGAAGCCATATGTAGGCTTGATAAAGAAGTCCTATGCTGGTGTGAGCGTGGGTGAGCTTACATTACCGTAGTCTCTTCACAAGTCATTAAAATACAAAAAACATATCTCTGCCTTCTGCATGTTTACCCACCGAGCTATTCAGACAGCATTTTCCCATTCGTTTTTTCAGGACAGTAATAAAACCTTGAATCAATGTGAAAGTTACTCGTAAACAAATGTTCGAGAATTATTTTGAGTAGCTGCACCACAGAACAATTCATTTCGATTTTTCACAAAACTGAAGGACATTTTGTGGGAGGTTATCGCTACGTTTAATCTCATTTCACAACCTTTTCTGATAAGAAATGATCAAAAAACTCTAGGTCATGCGATGGTGAGACCACCAACACAGCAATCTCCTTAGGAATGTTTTCAATCCCAGTTCCGGGAGAGAAGGGAAGGCAGCTTGTGATTAGGGAAAATCATATCGAATAGTTGCATACATCTTTGTTGCGGTAAGTGGTGATGGCACTTCCTCCGGGATGATTCTTGAGCACATCTTCATCCACATATACCCATTTGCCATCGACTTTTAGATAAAACGGCCTTTCGTCAATCTTCCGCACAACCATCCCCAAACTGCAATTTAAAAACCCTGAAATTGCCAGTTTGACGTGGACTAGGGAAAAGGCAGAATGAATGCGAACAGAAGTAGTGGAAAAGGCTTTGATGGAAATGTGAAAAAGGAGCCCCTACGAAGGCTACGGGTTAAACGAGAAGTAATCAGGAGAGGTGGGCCTTCTGAAAAGAAAGCGTAACAGTATCAGGAATCACTTCCTGAAGCGAGGATCTTGCTTCAGAGTGATAGATTGAAAGGAATTTCCATTTCAAGAAGTAATGGTTAGATGAGGCGATCAATGTGCGCCGTGTGGGCGGTCACAGCCGGCCGCTGTGCCTATGTTTGCTGGGGTGACCTTTGGCTTTTTTAGTCCACTTTGGGATTGTGAGCTGTCTTATCGCTCTTTCATCGTTATCGCAGAATTAGTCGTTGTCACCTGCTATGGTCACCGTCTGCTGTGAAATGCGTTCCTGATTCTCTGCAGTTGCTGGTCGGTCTCAGTGCAAAAGAACTACATAAAAAGTGCACTTTTCAAATTTCAGTTTGATCATTACATTCACAATTTTTATATGCAATTCAAGTATACATCACAGTAAAGCTACCAATTTTGATGGGAAGCTCACTGATTGCTTCTGTTTGTCCAAGGTCTTGATCCGTTCGATTCTTGGTCGTCCAGCGATTTCCATCTTTCTGATTGCAATCGTTCAGCACAATTCGGTAATAGATAGATCCTAACATGTCTTTTATTTATCTTTAAGTCTTTTACTTGGGGGGTTCAAAACATTTTCCAAACGTTTTGTATGTCTTAAATATGCCTTAAATAAAAGGCTTCATCCCTGAAATCGGGCCTGTTTCGTCGTTCGGAAAGGAATTCTCGAGAAAATGTAGTTGGGGGATGGAGCGGGAGGGTGCGGGAGGAGGGAACCCCGTTTTTNCCCCCCCCCCCCCTCCGACTATATTTTCATGGGTGTGTGCCGATTCGTGCGATTCTGGGTGCGCGCGGCAAAATTCGTAGTGATTCGAACGACTTATTGGGGCATAAACTTGAAGTAGAATAGTTGGGTATGGTCAGCTGATTCTACTAATCCACTCTACTTCAAGTTTGTGCTCCAATAGTCAGCATCAGAGTCGTTCGAATCAACACGAATTCCGCCGCGCAGTTTGCCGCGCGCACCCAGAATCGCAAGGATCGTGCGGCCCCCCATTTTTAGCGAAATTTTATCGAACAGAAGGAAGTACTCCGCTATCTGCAATGTTTGAAAATAAACGACGGCAATCCTGCACGGGTCTTTTGTACACTGACCTTGACTTTGTCGAACGACGTTTATTTTTTCGATCTCTATAAGAGTGTGGATATTTACTTGAAGTTTTCCTTCATATGTTTGCTTTCACGTGTTTTCGGCGATTCTGACTTCTGATAGCTGCAATGAATAGTCTTCTCTTAATTGTTTCAAGTAGTGCTCAACGATTAGTATGGGCATTGATTGCCTCCAACACTTTGCGGATTCAAAAGTTTCTAGGAGGTTTCCTACATCGAGTCTCCGTCGAGACCCCTATGGAAATAGCTAGGATCGCAGGCAATGCACGTGCAGTCCCAATCAGTGCACGTCGTCCGTCCGATTGCGACGAAGTGACAAATGCGACTTAGGGTCGGAATCTGAAAGTTGAAGAATAAGTGCAGCTTTTCGACAGTAAGGGGGATAGATTTCATCATAGGGATATTGTTGACAACACAATATCTCGCGAGGACGATTCCGCAACGTCCTCACGAGACGAATAGATGGTATGACCATGTGATCTACGGCCAATGGTCATATGAGGACATCGATGTTTACGATGTCCAGACAGGGGTCTGCCTGTCAACGAGTTGACCCCCACCCACCCTACCGATAGTCATTTCAGGACCAATGTGGAGAGAAGCTAGCGACTTGTGTCTTACCGCTGTAGAGTGCAAACTGCCAGAAATCGGAGAAGCTATCAGATTTTCATTTAACAGTCACCGTTCCAATGCCACGTTCACGGCATACTCCCACGCATGTCGAAAATTCATCACGTGGTGGGCAGCTGAACACCTCAAAAACGTGCCTATCTCTAAAGCACGGAATCTTTTCCTAGCACATTGCATTAACGAGAGCCAGCATATATCCCTGCCCATGACTGCGGCAGCCTTGAACTTCTTCCTTGGAAAGCAGAGGGAGGCAGATAAGGAAGTGGAAAAATCTTTGTTGCATAGTGCCGTTCGAAATAGAGCTCCTATTAGTCATAGAACCAAAATAACAGTGGAGGATTTTAATAACATCGTACATCTGGGATTTGTATCTGAAGACTCAAAGGCCTATTCTACCACAGCACTAGCCATACTGTTGTTTCGAGGCTTCCCACGATTCAGTGAAGCTCGAAGTTTAATGAAGCACAACCTCACATGCAC